TCATGCTATATATGTACATTTGAATTAGGTTCAGCCACTCTACATATTCACTTTAATACAGTACATTTGGTCTATGTTTGGCCATGCTGCATATTCACTTTTGTTCAGTACATTTGTCCTACGTTCAACCGTACTACATAGTCACTTTAGTACATTTGGCCTAGATATAACAGCGCTACATAATCATTTTGATTTAGTACATTCAGCCTACGTTCTGCGACACAACATTTTTGTTTTGGTTAAGTACATTTAGAATATGTTTGGCCACGCTACATATTCATTTTGGTTTAGTCCATTCAGCCTATGTTCAGATGAGCTAAATATTAACTTTGGTTCAGTACATTCAAACTATGTTTGGCCGCACTACATTTTCAATTTGGGTCAGTACATTTAGCTTACATTCAGCTACAATGCATATTCACTTTGGTTCAGTACGTGTGTCATGTAAGGCTATGCTACATTTTCAATTTGAATCAGTAATTTCAGCCACATTTTCATTACTTTATTTTAAGCTTTGTTCAGCTCTGCTATCTGTCATTATGTATTTACATATCATTTGGTACATCATCAGTTAGTCCCCAGGTAGTTTTACCTGTTTTTACTAGACTGCATCCCTAAGTGTAGTTTATACTAAGTGCACTACTTGTGGTTTTATTAATCTACCTATTGTTCATTGATTGTTGCTGAATTTACAAGTTTTGGATTACTGCATTTAAACTAAACCTCTCTTACCTAATAGTATTTGATAATTACCTAGATATTTATCATTTTCTACACACTTTTCATCTGAAGTTCCAAAATTCCAGTGATTAACCTTTATATTATGTACGTTTCCAACACTGCAACTCGTATATTTATCAGTCTAACATATTTGGTTTATTATTTAACTTAATAGCTCTGCAATTTTCATTTTCAAACATTAGGCACCCAGGCACACTATAGGCACCCAGACCACTTCAGCTCAATGAAGTGGTCTGGGTGCCAGGTCCATCTAGGGTTAACCCTGAAGCTGTAAATATAGCAGTTTCAGATAAACTGCTATGTTTACATTAGGGTTAATCCACTCTCACGTGGCTGTCTCATTGACAGCTGCTAGAGGCACTTCTGTGCTTCTCATTGTGAAAATCTCAGTAAGAAAATGCTGACATCCATAGGAAAGCATTGAGAAATGCTTTCCTATGGACTGAATGAAATGCGCACGCGCTGACGTCGGAAGATGGAGGACATTTCCCCAATGCCGAGGGAGCCCGGCGCTGGAGGAAGGTAAGTGATTAACCCCTTCCTCCCCCTTCAGCCCGGTGGGAGTGGCACCCTGAGGGTGGGGGGAGGGGACCTAAAGACCCTATAGTGTCAGGAAAACGAGTTTGTTTTCCTGGCACTATAATGGTCCTTTAAGTAGCTCTCTATGACACATCTATTAAATTAGGTGTTGTTTGTGACTACTAATAACTGCTGACTAAGTTACAGATTAAGTTCATTGATAACTCCTATTCTTTAGGACTGCAGTTTAAGCTTTTACTGTATGTTGTAAGGCTGTAAATCAACAAGATACTCTCATGCATATGGCATGTTTTATCAGTTGCTTTATTAGGTATTATCTGCATGATTTTGAGTTTATTGGCTGGTTACCTCTGTGACTTACTGAGGATTGCCATACAGTACTCTGAGATTTTGCTACTGTAGAGCTTTGTTTTGCCAGCCAAACAGTCACACTGCAGGTTACTGGAGTGGGGGGAAGGGTTACAGGGGAGAACTGTTGTACTCATAGTCACTTCTTCTTTCTGTTGAGTTTTGCCACTGTGGAGCTATGTGGTTCACATACAGTTATAATTAAAATGATTCAAGCCTCATTGAAAATCAGGTTTGTTGTAAACATTTACAGACTTTCAGCTGTTTGCAATGAACAAATTAAACTAAATCAGTTGAAATAGCTCAACACAATGAATGATTCAAGTGACTTCCCCAAATTCAGTCCCAAAATCATTCAAACCCAATGTGGCAAGCACCTTTAATACTTAGTAGAGCACAATTTTGCTGTTATGACCTGTTGCAAATATGATGCATAGCCAGACACCAGATTCTGGCAGTGTTCCGAAGGGAATCTTAGCTCATTGCTTATGACTAATGGCCTCCAGTTCTGTAATATTCTTGGGTGCTTCAACCGCCTTCTTCAAATCCCACCAGAGATCTTTTCTGGGATTCAAGTCAGGTGATTTTGATGGCCACTGTAGAGTGTTTTGCTGACTAATTGCCGTATGGAAGGTCTAATAAGGCCCAGGCTTCATCTTCCTCACAGATGTCATGACCTTTTCTCCTAGCATTTCCTGATCCTTCAATGAATCCATCTTGCCTTCCACATACTGCAAGTTTTCAGTTCCAGAGGATGCAAAGTAGCTCTCAGTTCTTTGTTTGTTTTAGGGCTAGCTTTAACAGGGACAGGGACAGGGACAGGGGATCCTTCTGCCTGAACTCTGTCTTTTTTTTAATTTTACTTTTTTTGTTTTTTTGATTTGCATTATTCATGTTCTGTTCCCTTTGCCTCTGTAGGATTTTTTACAGCACTGCACCTGTTCTACAGTGTTACCTCCACACACATTTCTACTCTGTGCCTGTCTTTCCATGAATTCTTACTGTCTTAGTTAAGCCAGCCCATGGCACACAGGGATCACAGCATGGATCCTTAATTCTTTGTTTATTCATAATTAATGCTATTTCATTGAGGACTTAACTTTTGAGCATATTAGGCACTGGTACCTTACACAATTTCTGGCCATGTTTGAGTACTAAATATGTATCTTTTAAAACGTTAGAAGCATTGTTCCTCATGACAATCTCCCACTATTATTTGTTTTTTGGTTTAAAGGCATTTTTATTGTGTAATAAAAGCATTACAAACATCAGAATGAGGATAAAGTATCAAATAATTGGAATATATATACTGGTTCTGCATTACATAACAATAGTAATAAGTATAGTGGTATTAGTGATCTTATTCAAAACAGTGTGGTTTCACAAGTCAATGGGGCTTGGTTGATGAAGGGAAAAGTATGTGTAGGGCTCATATTGAGTGGTTTTGAAGGTATTTACACGCTTCCATGTGGAAGTGTAGAGGTGGTAACTACTGGATAAAGAGCAGCAGGTTTCCTCTAGACCCCTGATAGTTTCAACCTCCTGTATCCAGTCTCATATGGACAAGGCATGGGGGGGGGGGTGGGTTGAGGGATAGGTTGGGTCATTTCCAGAACACTGGGATGAGCTGATTTGCAACTGTAATGAAATATAGTAAGAGAGACACCTTAACTTTGGGTATATTGTGTGGGGTTATGAAGAATATGAAGGTGTTGGGTGTGAGAGGGATGGTTTTTCTCTAAGATGGTTTGGACCATTTCGGGAATGTGTTTCCAGTACCATTGTATCTCTGGGCATGCCCACCAGATATGTGTTGTTGTTGTTTTTTTTATTAATACCTTTTTTATTGTTTTCAGGGAGAAAAAAAAAGGTAATTGGGGTACAGAAGGAAAAAAGGGTAATCAAAAGGGGACATAGTTGAGTTCCATCATACAGTGCACATTCCACAGTAGCATCACTTTACAGTTTTCAGGTGTTTGGTACCAGTGGAGAACTGCATTCTAGGTTGCACGCACGTTACTTCAATATTTATTGCTTCCTGTATCTATGACCTTCCGTGAATGTATATGTAGTGTTGCACTCATTTGGTAGCACGGTAGGTTTGGGCAATCGCAGCTCTGCCCATTCGATTGGCTATCGTGGTGTTTGTGCCCTACAATGGGTTGATTCAAGGGGGATGGGACCAGTGTGAGGGGGTGAAGTGGGCACACTGCTAAGTTGGAGGTTCTCAGGCTTCTGAAATATCTCTAGTGCATCCTCAATTGACCCTATACTTTGCACAGGGACAGTTCCGGGAGAATCTTTCCAGAGCGGAGGTTTTACTTGGGGGTGTCCCAATATTTTACATATCTGGCTCTTCTCCCCAGTGCTAACCAGTGTATCTCTTCCATTTAACACATAAATAAGCAAAAACACATAGAAGTAAAACCACTATTTTATGCACAACACCCTGTGTTAGAATTGAAGGAAAAAAATTATATTTATATACTTAACAGTATTGGACAATGTTCAATAGTATGGGAATATGGGTTCTAAAAAAGTTAAATTAAAAAAAAAACATAGTGTAACCTATTACAATACAATGTAAAGTGAGTGAATGTATGATTAAACTCACAAATATGGAGCCGTGCCAGGCTCTATGTTAATAGCCTCAAGGTGCCAGTACTGGCTATGGTAGATGTCCACAGGTAAGGCAAGCAGGTGAAGTGTGGTATCCAAAAACAAGGATATAAGTAAAAAGCAGTGTGTAATAAACAATATATACAGTACCGCACAAAGTCCTTGTGATACAGCATAAGAGAGATTCTTAATTTGACAGGGGGCATCCATGGCGAGTGCCGTTGCTTATCTGAAAAGGGGTGGACAGTTGTCCATTGACCCTAACACTAGCCGATGGTCCCCTGTAGAGTGCCTGTATCCAGTTCCTCAGTCTCAGGCCAAACCCCAGCACCTCCAGGACTGTAAAGAGATAGGACCAATCCACCCTGTCAAAGGCTTTCTCGGCGTCAATTGCTAAAAGCAGCATTGGGGTGTTAGTTGAGGTCACTCCATGTATTATGTTGAGAATTTTTGTGGTGTTGTCCCTGGCTTCTTGTCCAGGTACAAAGGAAGCCTGGTCAGGGTGGATCAGTCCAAGTAGAAGGGGTTTGAGCCGATTGGTGATGCATTTGTCCATCAATTTTAAGTCTGGATTTATAAGGGAAATAGGCCTGTAACTACCACATGCCTTGGGGACTTTTCCAGGTTTAGGGATAATAGTAATTGATGCTCGAAGCATCGGGGTGGGAGTACAGAGCCCTGGTCTAGTCAGTTAATTGTTTTAAGAAAGTGCGGTCCTAACTCTGTAGATAATGTTTGGTAGTATCGTGCTGTCAGTCTGTCCGGGTCTGGGTTTTTGCCTTCGGCATGGTCTTAATAGCTAGAGATAATTCCGCCGGGGAGAATGGCTCTTCCAGTGTGTTTCCCGCTTCATTGGGGACAGTGAGTGGGAGATTCAAGGTGATATATTCCCGCATGTAAGGGGATGTTCCTGTTGCGGGGGTTAGATTGTAGAGGTTACTATAAAAGTCGCAGAATGCCGCAGCTATGTCATCTGTAGCGTTGCATTGCTTCCACTTCCCATCTAATATGTTGGCAATAAAAGATCTCTGGAGTTTTGTCTTTAAGACCCAGGCCAATAACTTCCTGCTCTTGTTGCCATGGGCATAGAATGAGCTCCTCGTCAGTTGGACCGATCTATGTGCTTTTAGAGCTAACAGGGATCGGAGTTCTATCCTAAAGGGCTGTGAGCTTTTGGAAGGTTTCTCGTGTGGGGTCCAGCTTATGTAGGGTCTCCATCTCATGTATGGCTGCTGAGAGAGTGTTCTGTTTATGTGTGTGCTCTTTCTTAATTCTAGAGCCCCATTTGATCAGGGTACCCCTAATAACCACTTTGTGGGCTTCCCAGAACTAGGAGCCTGAGACCTCTGATGTCTGTTTGTGAAATAGTTGTGTAGGGTCGTGCGTAAGTCCTCCAGCACCCTAGGGTCATCTAGAAGGGCATCGTTTAGTCACCAGTGTGTGTTGTGTTTGGGGTCTCCCTGGAGTGCTAGAGTCAGGAATATTGGGGCATGGTCCAACCATGCCAATGGTCGCTTCACCGAGCATGAGGAGGTGTCAATGGCTGAGGTGGAACATGTCTATTTTGGAGTAACTCTTCGCTACCATGGAATAGTATGTATAGTATCTTGTGGGTGGATCAAACGCCAGCAGTCCATCAGTTGATGAGCATATAGCGTATTTGAAAACTGTTGTCTGTGGTTTTAGAGGAACTATCCATCGACTGGTCCAAGACCATGTTCCAGTCCTCCCCCACGACCATTACCTCCTCAGCAAATCCCTTCAGCTTGTTCAGACAGGAACGTATGAAAGACACCTGATCAGAGTTTGGGGCATATGTATGCGCCAGCATTATTAGCATGCCATTGTAATTCTCTTTGACAAACACGAAGCTCCTCCCTGGGTCTGTTTTGGTGCTTGTCTCTGTGAAGGCTGCATGTGATGCTATTAGTATTGCTACACCCCTGGATATCCCCTTCCCATAATTGCTATAGTAGGTCTGTTGAATTCGTTTAGAACTAAGCATCGGTTGGAAATCTCCCATGTAATGGGTTTCCTCTACTAATATTATGTTGGCTCCCTGTCTGTCTATTTCCTGTGCTAACACAGTGCGTTTTTCCAGGGAATTAAGCCCCCTTACATTCAGGGATATTAATTTAATGTGTGCTATATGAACGGTATGGTCTACCTTAAGTCAAGATAGGAGTGCCTAGGATGTCTCCATAAAGCATAATGCAGTGCATAATGGTGGGAATTGGACCAAACGAGGAAGGGAAAACTCAGGGAAAACAGAAACTGTGTACATAAATATGAAACGAAAATGTCATATCGGCGAACGCGACCTTCCGCAAATGTTCGCGAACCGGCGAACCGCCCGAAACGCCATTGACTTCAATGGGGAGGCGAATTTTAAAACACACAGGGACTCTTTCTGGCCACAATAGGGATGGAAAAGTTGTTTCAAGGGGACTAACACCTGGACTGTGGCATGCCGGAGGGGGATCCATGGCAAAACTCCCATGGAAAATTACACAGTTGATACAGAGTCTGGTTTTAATCCATAAAGGGCAGAAATCACCTAACATTCCTAAATCACAATCAATATGGATTGACACCTGACATATGACATATTGACACCTTGACATATGGATTGACACCTGTCCTCAGAGCCCCTGATGCACACGGACACAGAGCAGAATAGAGACTGGTCCCCCTACATAGGGTCACTTGGCAGATATGGATTGACACCTGTCCTAAGGATCCCTGATACACACTGACACAGAGCAGAATAGGGACTGTTCCCCCTACATCGGGTCACTTGGCAGATATGGATTGACACCTGTCCTAAGGTTCCCTGATACACACTGACACAGAGCAGAATAGGGACTGGTCCCCCTACATCGGGTCACTTGGCAGATATGGATTGACACCTTGTTACAAACTGCTATTTGTAACGGGCCCTTTAAATGGCAAATTGCCCTGCTTCCCTGGGTTGTGGAGAAGCCTATTTGCCAGCCTCCTCCCGCATGACTATGGCCCCTGGGAGATTGTGAAAATGTATGCACTTTTATTTGGTGTGTATGGCCCTTTAAGACTGTCGGTGGGCATATTGGGGCTTATGGACTCTTTATGTGACTGGTGCTGGCCCTTTAAACACCTTTTTTGGGACATCAGGAAGATTGGGACACTGCCCCTTTAAGGCCGTGTCCCCAGACTTGTTGGGGACACGGCCCCTTTAAGACGGTGTCCCCTGTGTCCCCAGACCTGGTGCAAACCCTTTGTGCCTGCCTTGCTATTTCCCACTTGGTTCAGTAAATGGGAAATTATTTCAGTTGCAGAGACTAAGTCCCATTCGGCGATGGGACTTAGTCTTTTTTTCAGCCGTTTTTTTCAGCCTTATTTCAGCTGCAGAGACTAAGTCCCATTCGCGATGGGACTTAGTCGTTTTTTCAGCCTGAAATAGACCGACCTCACAGCCCAAATCTATGGAACTGTTTTGGGCAGGAAAATGTGCTTGCGGTCGGTCATAAAGGGACCTCCAGCTAACTTTTTAACCCCTTGATGGATTTGGCTGATTTTTGGTTATGTTTATGTTTTAAGTGTGCTGATTCCAAATATGTAATTATGAAGATGGGATGTGTAGTTTTAAAGTTACAGGGTATGGCTAAAAAACTGTATTTTTACTGCCTGTGTTTAATTATGTTAATCTCTTCCCAAACGTCATTTCGTTCAAAGTGGAGAGAATGTTAAAAAATATATTTTTGTTCGGAGTGTGAGAAATGCTTTTCAGCCGCTTCTAATCTTAAGCATCATTTGAGGAGCCATACAGGAGAGAAACCTTATTTGTGGTGTGTTTAGTATTGTTCTGATCAGTTTAATACCTTCCGCATCTCCTATCAGTGGACGTGTATATGGCAGCCATTTTAGGAACCATACACCTGGGACCCGAGCAAGGTCACCTCGTTCAACAGGCTTGCAGCGTATCCTCCAGGAAGAAGAGCCTGAACCCTTACCGGCTGCACGTGTCTTACCTGTACATGGAAAGCTGCTGTGGTTCCTTGATGAGCCAGCTGCCCGTGAGTTAACATGTCCCGTGGAGAAGCACTCTGTCCTGTAAAGCCTCACCAAAAAAAAGGAGTGGTGTGTTTAGTATTGTTCTGATCAGTTTAATACCTTCCGCGCCTCCTATCAGTGTGGACGTGTACACGGCATTGATTTTTGTAACAGGGAGATGGAAGAAGAGGCTTGGTCGGTCCTCTTACTGCAAATTTGGGGCACTGCGCGGTCAAGCTAATGTGACACCAGATAGGAGTGGTGTGTTTAGTACTATTTTTATCAGTTTAATACCTCCGCTGCTCCTATCAGACGTAAAATAACGCATTGACTTTTGTAACAGGGAGACGGAAGAAGAGGCTTGGTCGGTCCTCTTACTGCAAATTTGGGGCACTGCGCGGTCAAGCTAATGTGACACCAGATAGGAGTGGTGTGTTTAGTACCATTTTTATCAGTTTAATACCTTCCGCGTCTCCTATCAGTGGACGTGTACACGGCTTTGATTTTTGTAACAGGGAGATGGAAGAAGAGGCTTGGTCGGTCCTCTTACTGCAAATTTGGGGCACTGCGCGGTCAAGCTAATGTGACACCAGATAGGAGTGGCGTGTTTAGTACTATTTTTATTAGTTTAATACCTTCCGCGTCT